ACCTCAATTGTGATATCCGAAGGAATGTTTTCCCACAGGCGATGCAGGATATATGGCTTCTCCACAGAATGGACTCTTGTATGAGACCTCAATTGTGATATCCGAAGGAATGTTTTCCCACAGGCGATGCAGGAATATGGCTGCTCCCCAGTATGGATTCTTGTATGATACTTCAAATGTGATTTGGTATGAAATGTTTTCCCACAAGTGTTGCAGGAATATGGCTTCTCCCCAGTATGGATTTTTATATGAGAGTTCAAAGAAGATATGTGAGTGAATGTTTTCCCACAGGTGGTGCATGAATATGGCTTCTCCCCAGTATGAATTCTTATATGAGCCTTCAAATTAAATTTTTCAGTGAATGTTTTCCCACAAGTGTTGCATAAATATGGTCGATCACCTGGAGGAGCCAGAATCTGCTGTTGTGGCTCCTTGTCTGAAGTTAAACTTTGTTTTACTCCTTTCTGATCTTGTCTATGAGATTCTTGAGTGTCGTTTGGTTCTGGTACCACAAAACGTTCACAGTCTATTTCCTCATCTAACCCGCTGGTACACGTGCTAGCTGGAGGCTCTGTCTCTGATTCACTCTGACTTCTGTCAGGATTCAAAAACGGAGTCTCATCATCACTGTGATCAGTTTCCTCACAAGTGGGAGTCAACATAAAGGTGTCGGCCTCCTGCTTCGGTTCAAGCTGCTCTCCCTCCTGACTGCTGCACAGTTCCTCCTGTTCCTCTTTAATCTGTGGAGGATCTGGGTCCTCTTGGTCCAGACTGGGGTTCCTCTCCTGGAGACAGAGCTGCTGGTCACAGAGAACCTCCTCCTCCTTACAGACACGTGACTGCGGGAGCTCTGGAGGGACAAAAGAAATAGAAAAACAAACGTTGGAGCGAATAAATACAACGAGTGTGAATAAACCATCACGTGTCCTACTGTTCAATTAGTAACGTTTAAGAACAGGTTTATCGGGATAAATTAAATGTCTCGTCTTTGTTGCTTCAGACCACAGATGTTTCTAACAAAGTTGTACTCACCTATCCGGTGTAACCTCACTTCGGGTTTCAATAAAACATCCAACAGTCCGCGCTGCCGGTCGATCTCTTCCTGGTACTCGACGATGCTTCTTTTAAAAACTCCGAATATTTCTTCAGCAGCAGCAGATAGTCGCTCGTTGACAAACTCTCTCAAACCCTCAACTGAAGACATTGTTGCTTGATAACCGATGAAATAATTACCTGCACTTCCACGGCACCGAGCAACGACTTGATGTCACCCTATAAAGTTCCGACTGGAAACACCAGTCTCATTAAGTTTCCGCTTGCTGTCGTGGTTGCAGGTCAGCCGTCTTCTTCTTCTCCTTCGTCTCCCTTTTTTCATGATGTTTAGTGGCGGTTGGCAAATAATTAATTGGTACATTACCTTCACTATCTAGTATGGAGCGGGGGTCCGGACGCTCACTACTAATTTTGTTTGAATTTAAATACAGTATTAGTAAAAATCAACCAAAAATAATATATGAAGACAAATGTCAAAAACATTTAAAATCATATACACACACATACAGTACTGTATACTTTTTTCTTTTTAATACCTACTGAAGCTGCCGTTAAAAAGTACATACAACGTCATAGATTTTGTGATGACACCCCTGTAATGTGAAATTTGTACATAGTATATTTTGATATCTTTTTAGTATATTGTGTAAATGTTTAACAGCCTGTACTTTAGCTCTGGACTCAGTACATGCATTTTATATTCTTATAAAACTGTTGTATAACTTGTAGTGTAACAGAATCTCATAAGCTTGCACCGTGATACATGCAGCAGACTGCCTATACACATGACTTTGTGCCTCTTCTTGCTACAATGCAATATAACATATTAAAGACAAGTTCTGTTCAAAATATTCTTCAATTCAGCTCATGAAGACGCAATAGTGGGTAAACTTATTTTTTTCAAACTTAACATTATCGTATAGGAATAAATCACCAGTCATCTTTACCTTATTATATCAATGTATTATACAAATCTAGCCAGAGTAGATATTGGTGAAGCATGCATACACATATCCATACCAAAAACTAACAGGAAATTCACATAGCTTTAATAAAACGCTTCAGTGGCTTTCTAATCTTAACAATTGCTCAGAATACTTCCTCTCAGGAGTTGCATCTATGACGCTTCATCCTTGTGGCTTCGTCTCATGTGGACAAGTAAGTTACTAGAAAATCTGAAACCTCTTTCACATATTTTACAGGAATATGGTTTCTCCCCAGTATGGACTCTTGTATGAGACCTCAATTGTGATATCCGAAGGAATGTTTTCCCACAGGTGATGCAGGAATATGACTTCTCCCCAGTATGGATTCTCATATGATACTCCAAATGGGATTTCTGAGTGAATGTTTTCCCACAGATGCTGCAAGAAAACGGTCTTTCCCCAGTGTGGATTAGCATGTGGACTTTCAAGCCTTTATTCAATTTGAAATCTTTTCCACATATTTGACAAGAAAATGGTTTCTCATCACTGTGGACTCTTTTATGAATCTCAAATACAGATTTATCCACAAATCTTTTCCCACAGGTGTTGCATACATATGGTTGATCAACACTGTGGAATCTTTTTACGTGGGCCAACAAGTTTCCACGTGTTTTGCACAAAAACGTCCTGTCACCTGGAGGAGCCAGAATCTGCTGTTGTGGCTCCTTGTTGTTGTCGTTTGGTTCTGGTACCACAAAACCTTCACAGTCTATTTCCTCATCTAACCAGCTGGTACACGTGATAGCTGGAGGCTTTGTCCCTGATTCACTCTGACTTCTGGCAGGATTCAAAAACGGAGTCTCATCATCACTGTGATCAGTTTCCTCACAAGTGGGAGTCAACGTAAAGGTGTCGGCCTCCTGCTTCGGTTCAAGCTGCTCTCCCTCCTGACTGCTGCACAGTTCCTCCTGTTCCTCTTTAATCTGTGGAGGATCTGGGTCCTCTTGGTCCAGACTGGGGTTCCTCTCCTGGAGACAGAGCTGCTGGTCACAGAGAACCTCCTCGTCCTTACAGACACGTGACTGCGGGAGCTCTGGAGGGACAAAAGAAATAGAAAAACAAACGTTGGAGCGAATAAATACAACGAGTGTGAATAAACCATCACGTGTCCTACTGTTCAATTAGTAACGTTTAAGAACAGGTTTGTCGGATAAATTAAATGTCTCGTATTTGTTGCTTCAGACAACAGATGTTCCTAACAAAGTTGTACTCACCTATCCGGTGTAACCTCACTTCGGGTTTCAATAAAACATCCAACAGTCCGCGCTGCCGGTCGATCTCTTCCTGGTACTCGACGATGCTTCTTTTAAAAACTCCGAATATTTCTTCAGCAGCAGCAGATAGTCGCTCGTTGACAAACTCTCTCAAACCCTCAACTGAAGACATTGTTGCTTGATAACAGATGAAATAATTACCTGCACTTCCACGGCACCGAGCAACGACTTGATGTCACACTATAAAGTTCCGACTGGAAACACCAGTCTCATTAAGTTTCCGCTTGCTGTCGTGGTTGCAGGTCAGCCGTCTTCTTCTTCTTCTTCGTCTCCCTTTTTTCATGATGTTTAGTGGCGGTTGGCAAATAATTAATTGGTACATTATCTTCACTATCTAGTATGGAGCGGGGGTCCGGACGCTCACTACTAATTTTGTTTGAATTTAAATACAGTATTAGTAAAAATCAACCAAAAATAATATTTGAAGGCAAATAACGAAAACATTTAAAATCATATACACACACATACAGTACTGTATACTTTTTTCTTTTTAATACCTACTGAAGCTGCCGTTAAAAAGTACATACAACGTCATAGATTTTGTGTTGACACCCCTGTAATGTGAAATTTGTACATAGTATATTTTGATATCTTTTTATTGTATTGTGTAAATGTTTAACTGCCTGTACTTTAGCTCTGGACTCAGTAGATCTTCACCCTTTGCGTGCACGTAAACACTGTTCATTCACTGGAAACTGGGATATCTTACATGCATTTTATATTCTTATAAAACTGTTGTATAACTTGTAGTGTAACAGAATCTCATAAGCTTGCACGGTGATACGTGCAGCAGACTGCCTATACACATGTCTTTCTGCCTCTTCTTGCTACAACGCAATATAACATATAAAAGACAAGTTCTGTTCGAAATATTCTTCAATTCAGCTCATGAAGACGCAAAAGCGGGTAAACTTATTTTTTTCAAACTCAACATTATCGTATAGGAATAAATCACCAGTCATCTTTACCTTATTATATCAATGTATTATACAAATCAAGCCAGAGTAGATATTGGTGAAGCATGCATACACATATCCATACCAAAAACTAACAGGAAATTCACACAGCTTTAATAAAACGCTTCAATGGCTTTCTAATCTTAACAATTGCTCAGAATACTTCCTCTCAGGAGTTGCATCTATGACGCTTCATCCTTGTGGCTTCGTCTCATGTGGACAAGTAAGTTACTAGAAAATCTGAAACCTCTTTCACATAATTTACAGGAATATGGTTTCTCCCCAGTATGGATTCTTGTATGATACTTCAAATTTGATTTCTGAGTGAATGTTTTCCCACAGATGCTGCAGGAATATGGCTTCTCCCCAGTATGGATTCTTGTATGATACTTCAAATGTGATGTGATATGAAATGCTTTCCCAAAAGTGTTGCAGGAATATGGCTTCTCCCCAGTATGGATTTTTTTATGAGAGTTCAAAGCAGATATGTGAGTGAATGTTTTTCCACAGGTGATGCAGGAATATGGATTCTCCCCAGTATGGATTCTCACATGATACTCCAAATGGGATTTCCGAGCGAATGTTTTCCCACAGATGCTGCAAGAAAACGGTCTTTCCCCAGTGTGGATTATCATGTGGGCTTTTAAGCCTCTTTTCAATTTGAAATATTTTCCACATATTTGACAAGGAAATGGTTTCTCATCACTGTGGACTCTTTTATGAATCTCAAATACAGATTTATCCACAAATCTTTTCCCACAGGTGTTGCATACATATGGTTGAAAGGTTCTCCTTGCTTAGTTTTGATTGGGAACATGAATACCTGAGTCTGATCTCCAAGTTTCTTTCCACCCATTTTTACTCAGTTCTATGAGTGTTATAATAATAATACCTTCATTTTATATAGCGTTTTTTCTAAATACCCAAAGACGCTTTACAAAGGGCAAAGACAGACAAAAACAAAAGACACAAACAGAACAGAACATTTAAGAAAAGTAGTTGCAGGCGAGATTGAAGAGGTGGATTTTGAGGACTTGTTTGAATGATGGAGTTTGGATAGGGAGGGCGATCCAGAGGGGAGGTGCCGCAACTGATGCTTGGTCCTGATGGTCTTCAGGGTGTTAGCATCGGTGGACCTGAGGCAACGGGTCGGGGCGTGGAGGGGGACAAGGTCTGAAAGGTAGGTAGGGGCCAGGTTGTTTGGAGCTTTGTAGGTGAGGAGTAATATTTTGAAGTCTATCCTGTATTTGTCCGGGAAGGTTGTAGAGGTCCGGCGACGATGATACCAAGGTTGCAGAGCAGAATGGAGGGGGTGACGATGGAGCCATCCATGTTGAGAGAGAGAAGGTCTGTGCTGAGCGGATGAGGGAGTTAAGGCCGACGATGAGTTTTTCAGACTCATTGCAGTTGAGTGTGAGAAAGTTCTGTGGCATCCATGATTTTTTATCAGTGGGAGTGCAGCGGGTGACTGATGGTCCTGGATTGTTAAATCCACCTTGTTAGCTGGTAATATCCAGGGAGGAGCATTTCCCCACATTACCGTATTCTTTGGCTGCTGTATTGATAGTCCAACCAAACCCTTTGCTTCTACTTTCATTACGTTCATAAAGCACCTTCGTGGCAGGAAGTTCCTCTCCGGATCCTTTCAGCTTTACCCAATAAGCAAGAGGTAGCTTTGATCGTCTCAATCGTAATGCCAGTGTGTCAGCTTCCACCAGCAGTGCACATTTTTGGAGTGATTGTAAATGTGCCCATACTAAATCCAAATATTTCACCTTTACAGATTTTTTTCAGCAGTGGGAAATCTTTGATTGGAAGCTCTTTCTTTTCTTTTGGCTATTTAAGAAAAACATAAGAAAAAAAAGCCTCATGCAGGATAAAATCATGAGTGACTTCACTTGAGGGTTTATCAGTTTAAAAGGCCAATCCTTTTTTAATTATGCAGGATATGTTTGTGGTGGAAATTTGTAGATTTAGACCTGGTGAGATATCAAAAGTATCTTGAGCTTGCTTTGTGATTACGTATTTATTACCAACTAGAATACAGAAAACAAAATGATAAAAAAATACAGAAATCATCCACACAAGTACAGACAGAAGTAAAATGACTACAATTCAGCTGAAAAGGGACAGATTGTTCCTTCCCCCAAAAGGAGCCGGAAGATCTGACCAAGTTAAAGAGGAGAACAGGAGGTTTTATACACTTCAGGGAGGTTTGTGCTGCCTCAGCACAGGAGAGCACACCCCTCAAAGAGGAGTGTATGGAAAAGTACCAGACGACGTAGGGGAGAGTCCGTGACCTTCCCTTAATGGACCCAGTCAATCAATAACATTTAAAAGGTCAGTCAGGGCACGAATGGTTCCATCTGTGTCTTATCTCACCCTGAACTGCCTTAGGTCACAGGCTCACATAAAAGGTCACATTCCTGAGAGACTCACCCGACGCAGGCTCAACAATTTTCCCCTGACAATGTTCACTCAATGTGCAACAAAGATTTTTCAAAGATTTTTAGTGATTACAGTAAATTACCGCAAAACATGTCACTAACAGCACGTTACATGAAGTAAAAAACAGGCAAATTTAACAATACCTTCTTTTGTTGATAAAGAAGTACTATATAAATAATAATCTTTGAAATATCTCAGAATATTTCCTTAAAGGAGTTGGATCTATGACATTTCACACTTGTGGATTTTTCTCATGTGGACAATTAAGTTACTAGAACTTCTGAAACATCTTTCACATATTTTGCAGCAATATGGCTTCTCCCCGGTATGGATTCTTGTATGAGACCTCAAATGTGATTTGCAAGTGAATGCTTTCCCACAGGTGATGCAGGAATACGGCCTTTCCCCAGTATGGATTCTTGTGTGAGACTTCAAATGTGATTTGCCTGTGAATGATTTCCCACAGGTGATGCAGGAATA